CCATCTCGCGTGAATGTTCATCATCAGCGTTTTCGGATCCACTGGTAAATGGAATCCTCTAAAAAAACTCTGCCATCAACTTCTACTTTCTCTGATTCATTTCTGCGCTCATGTGAATCATACCGCGAACTTCTTCAGCTCATCATGCCATCGGTCTGGAGGTCTTCCCGCGGTTCGTTCACTCTCTCTCTCGGAGGCTAGTCTAACGTCTCCTTTGTCAAGCGATAGTCGATTTTTCATGCACCGTGCCCTGCCCATTGCGGCTTCAACTTATTCAGTAGTACAGTGACATTACAGACTCCATTTTGTATTCATACACAAAAATAAAACCTGAATTTACCCGGGTTTACTCGACCCTAGAGTCCGGTTTACTAGCATACTGCTAGTTTTTGATACCGCCGCTAAGATATATAATATATTTTAGTTTTTGATCAAGTCATCACCGACATGGTATTATTTCGACTTGATTATGTCATGGTCGTGAGGCAAAGACGGCAGCATGGATCTCATTTTTTTACTCATCAAAGAAATTCTTTTACGTTCTTGAGTTTCTCTCAACAGCTATCTGTGTCTTGGCAACTATTCTTCCCTGCCATTGGTATATACTGCTGCTTTTCTGTCCTGACTAGATACAGTACTGCTGATGGGACCCATCTTTGTCTCTTATTTAAGGATGGGGTTAATGAGATACTAGTAAATCAGGTATGACTACAGATCTTATGCTAGACATAGGAGGATATTAATTGTTTCGCATAACTTCACCGAAATCTCCTTATACTACTGTTTCAAGCTTCATTGTTCACCTTATGACTGTCATCGTGACGAAAACTTCCCGCTGTTGTTCTGTTGTGCTGTCTCATCGTTGGATCATTACCCTACCCAGTGTTGCGGGTAATGATAATTAATTCTTAAAAGCGAAATCTTCAGCAGGGGGTTGCATCATCATCATCAATTGGTTCCAATCCACTAGTTTAAAACTTGTGAGGATAACCTATATCCTGGCGCCGGTCATTTGTTTTTGGATTTGCGGTTTAGCGAACCTCCGTCGTAAGAGAAAGTTTAGCATGTTTAATTCAGAACTGTAAAAAAACAATTCCTGGAAAGAAGGGAGATCAGAAGAAGACCGTAAAGCCTACTCTACCTATCATTTCCGTGGTTCAGCCACTGAGTTGGTCAGATATGCGTCTGTCTTCTTGCCTGTCTCTGTCGTATTACTGCTCTGTCCGAATCGTTTCTTCTCGTTTCCTTCCTGTTTTACTACTTGCTTCAACCCCATGCGATGATGGGGATCATTTGTCTAGGTTGACTGTAGACAATGCGAAGCTTGTGCATTCTCTTTTTCAGTTTCTTTCCCGGTACCTCGATCAAGTTTCCATCGCAAATACAAAGCGTCTATGACAGAAAACCGCTTTTTCGGTCATCTGTTATGAAAACTTTGTCACGTTCTCCACAGGACAGCATATAGTAAGAGTGATTATTCTTTACCAAGGATTCAGTGATTCAAAATCTATATAAACCAAGGTGGTCAAAAGTATGACGTGAAGTAAATAAGGAAAAAATGCGTGTTGCTCGTTGTTAGGACATTCGCCGGTTTACCGTGAGAATTTCATTTAGCCAGCGATTTCTGTGGCATATTTCCTTTCATCCCGAGCGACGGTTACATCAGCGGTCTCTCAATCGCCGATGGTCATCGCTAACTGAGTAGTTAGGCCTGTCAGAAGCCGTCTGACGTTTAGCGGGGGACATGCGACCGGTTCTTAGGTTCCTGGTGCCGCCCGGTCTCCGAAGTTGACGGGAGCGCGTTGTGATGTCTAATCTGCCACACCGCCTTTGGCGATTGCGCTTAATTATGATACACACGGTCTGACCTCAGGATATTGAAACATTCCACGAAACTCGACCGTACGTTCGGGCATGTCCAGCTGTGACTCGAGACTGCCACCGCGGTGATCGATGTAATTTATCTTCATAAAACCGAAGACCTATCTGCAGGCGTAGGTCATTTCGTGCTGTGTTAACAGAGGCTAATCTCGCTCAAGGTCTCTGCCGTCAATGGC